AAKKAKRMYAWMYAYGMRCRRCKAYGSRMGMMYWTRKAAAAAWTTTTTGCCAGGGGTTGTATTAGGGATTAGGATTGCTGGTTAATTTTAGGTCGTAAGTAAATAAAATAAAGTAAAGTTTTATTTATATAGCGCCTTTCACAGAAATAAATTCACTAGGTGCTGTACATTCAGGGAAGGGGGAGGGGGCAGTTAAGAAACACCCATTCAAGAAGACATACAAGGCAAACATGGGGGAACAGGTGAAAGAGGTCATGCAGCAAACACAGTTGCGCTACCTTTAACAACAGAAAAACTAAAAACCAAACAAGGGAAGATGAAGAAAAAAAACGGTTGTGATGTCAGGGACAGGATGTCTAAGGCTAATAGAAGTTAAATTTAGTGTTTTAGATGTTTTTTCATGCATTTTCAAGACCTTTCAAAAATATGACAATGGGCTCCTCCTCCTTGTTCTCATCTCTTCAATAACTGACGCAAGGGGGTTACCCAACGCATCAAAACCTGATGCAGAGGGAACCTTGGACAAGCYTCAATATATGACGAGTTGGGAGTGAGATGCACTTCTCCTGAAGAACACCTCTAACATTTTTTYACTTTGTCATTTCAGTTCTCTGGAAATGATTGTTGGATTAGAAAGCAATAGCAAGATATTCACTGTCAGTGTGCATGGACTTCTGGAGCTACAGGTGAGACAAACTAACTGAGAATCCATAGAAATGTTTGTCCTTTTATCAACYTGCTGTATGTTTCTTCTGCAGGCCGGTCAGTACACCTCCATATATGTGGATAACGCAGCTAGTGCTTCTGTCACGATACAGAACGGGTCAGACTTCATGGGCGTCCTGCTTGGTGTATAGCCTTCCTCTCAAGAAGAGCGTCTTCCATCTGTCCACAGGTGGCTTCTGGTTTTTATGTACCTGAAACTGAACCACCTCTGAAAACCGTGTAAACCACAGAAGACTTTTGAAGGAAGAAATAATGGCTGACTTTGTCTTTACTGCCCATCTACTGATGAAAGGACAGTTTAAAGAACTCAAGGCTTGAGTTTAGTTTCCATGACGCACTGCCACTTCCACCAGGAACCTACTGCTTTATCAATAAAATAGCCTGAGGATGAAGAGCAGAATTTGAGGAGTCGAMGTATATTTTTGTGGCTTTTTAGGATCTTTGCAGTAAACCAAACTTTTTTTTGTTCTTTGTAATTATTGGAAAAGATAAAAACATTAAATATTACAGTTATGCATTTAATATATATTGACATGTCATTGTTTTGTGAATAGTATCTGCAATGTACACGCTCATGAAATATTGTATGTGCAAGTATTTTTGGAATTTGAATTCACAAAAACATATTTTGTATTATTATTATTATTATTATTATTATTATTATTATTATTTGTTACATAGACTCTGTGAGTACACTGGATGATTGATGCTTGGTTGTTTAACACAACTGTAGCTTTATTTTTACATTTTGCAAGAAATATCCCAGTAACTACTGAAAAGATTACATTTATTGCACCCAGAATTGTACAAACATCTGGTTGAAAATGTCTGAGAACCTGTTGGATACAATCTCATACAAATGTGTGTGTTCACACCTGGACTAATATAATTTGTGACTGTCAAAATTTGTATCTATTTAAAAAATACAAAAACCTCCGAGGTACTTTTGGTGGTAGCTGTTGGGACATGCTAACATGTTCAATATGCTAACCTAGCATTTATTCGATGTACGCTAAAGAACCATTCTGACTTAGAATCCATCATGAATTCATCGTGTTTCTGTTTGTTCAGACCCTCTTTACACTGGACGSTAACCTTGCTAAAGAACATCAGCCAGAATGTGGATTCTCTTTGTAAAATTTTGATGACAACTTACACATTATCCAAGACAGAGTGTGAGGGGTCATGATGGTTGTGAGCATTCTAAGTCCATCAGTATTTTTGGCAACCAATCAGCGTGGTGCCAGTGTATCTGTGATCTGAGGACCATGGACTCCCATATGTCTTGGTTTATTGTAGAGAGGTCATGGAAACCACCTGAGACCAGTGTGATACCTATAGCTTGGTCCTGACACAGTCTGAGAAAAGAGAGTAAGGTAGGTTTTGTCCTGTGGACGGAGACGTCCCTGCTCATGATTGGCGGAGATCTTGATGTGGGCGGAGATAGCCCGAGACGTGATTGGCGGAGGTTATGAAGTGGGCGGAGATGGCCCGAGACGTGATTGGTCGGATTGACGGTGGGGTCTGAGGAGGCTGGAGGCAGCGGGGAGTAGCTTGATCAAGTCGGGCAAGAAGCAATGTGTTTTTTAAGATTAATTTTAGTCATAACTTGCGAAAGGAAAGTGCTATCTGCACGAAATTTGAACGTCATACATGTGAAAGGATGTGTAACAACATGGCTTGGTTAAAACATCCCTAACCAGCCTGTAAAAAGATGGCTAAAAATCAATATTTTTTTTACAGGCTGGTTAGGGGTGTTTTAACCAAGCCATATTATTATACATCCTTTCACGTGTACGGCGTTCAAATTTCGTGCAGATAGCACTTTCCTTCCTCAAGTTATGACTAAAATTATTCTAAAAAAGTAACGTTACTTCCTGCCCGACTCGACCAAGCTACTCCCCGCTGCCTCCAGCTTGAAACCCCACCGTCAATTCGACCAATCACGTCTCGGGCCATCTCCGCCCACATCAAGACCTCCGCCAATCACGATTTGGGCCGTCTCCGCCCACAGGACAACACGTTCTGCAGAGACCCCTACTTGACAAAAGACAGGGTTGGGGGGGGGGGTGGGGGGTAGGGTGCAGGAGAGCATCTTGAGGATGAGGAAGATACGTATGTAGACAAACCTATTTCATGAGAACTAAGAGTGTAGCAGCATCATTATTGTCATATTGAAGGTGGTTTTCTAAATGTGTCATGATCRAGCCATGTTCCAATAGGTCCTGTAGACTGCAGCAGGGTCTTCATCTGTTTGAAGGGGGCCTTTCGTTTTTCAGTCAGGCATTGGTACTTTTTATATTATTGCCATTTTTTTCTTTCCTCTAGAAAGCTACACTTTTTTGTGTAATTGTAAAGGTTCATGAAAAGAGGAGGGAGAGGATTGTTGATGAAGATGGTGCCAGGGAAAAAATGATRTGCCCCAAAATGTATTAAATGTATTAAACAGCTGAAGTGCCTCCTAAAGTCCAGACATTTCACACTTTCCTCTTGCTTTGTTCTAAAATATTTTAATGTTCATAAAGTTTTAATTTCTTGATGCCTCTCCATGACTGTGCTGTTGTGCTAACAATACTAATGTCACTATTAGCTTTGTCTGTATACTAAAACTTTTATTAACTGGAAATGGCTGAAAGAAAGACTCATCTGAAAGTTAGGTTAATGTTTTTGTGTCACTCATGCTTCAGTGCAGGAAACTCTTCATCAAGGGAGCCTTCAGAAATTATTTAAAGTCGAGGGTAGGGGTGGAGGGTGGGGGCACCAAAACCAAAATCCAGAAGAACAGAATTTCATTAGATTTGTTTGGTTGTTGTCATATTTGTCATTAGACAAATACAAAACTACAGGAGTTATAGAATACCTGCTGATTATTATACTGTAGTCTGTTTCATTTATCACTACTCAATAAAGATTGTCCTCTAATAAATCTATATTTATAATAAACATAACGTCCTGAGATGCATCCTGATGTTGAAGACTTTGGTTTTAGACCAGTTGTCTTTATTCAAGGTAACTAGATTTTAAGTTTTATTTTAATATTTAGATTTTTAACTCCTTTACTCAAAAACAACTGTTTATTCTTATGTTTATGAGGATGGACTATTATGAAACAGCTAGGGTAAATAAAAATGMACACCAATCAAAAGCTTGGGAGTCAAGCGGATGAAACCCTGACCGAGGGGGGCCAGTGGTGCCCCCACCCCTGAATTCTATTGGAAAAAATGGTAAAGACCGCAGGAAAAGTTTACAACGTTGCTTAAAACAAAGTCACATAAAAATAAAATACCCAGCACAGTTTTACACATTCTGCCTTTTTGTTGACATGTTTATTATTTTATTATCTGTGCTCACATTGTATCACCTCCGCATTTCCAATAAAGCTGCTATCATTCACTCTTGCTGTCAGACGTTAAATACCTTAAAAACTCTTAATATAAGTCAGTTTAATAACAATAAATAGCACCTTTCTGTCAGTAAAGACAGGTTGTTTATCTGCTCTTTTTAAATCCTTTTATATATTATAATATCACTACTGTGACTAAAACGATAACTGAAAACTTGGGTTTTTGAAGTTATTTCTGTTCAGGAAATTAAGGTTGGACACAGGAGTATTAGAAACACATCTGTAACCAAATTCAACTTCAATACTTGTCCACTTATGCCAAATATGTTCACAGTGCTAACAAGAAACAGCTCTTCTAGTATTAGCATCAACATGTAGAGGATGTCCTTAGACTCCAGAAACAGAACAAGGTATTTAATTAGTTGAACTGGCAGGGACAACAAAACCTGTATGACCAATGATTGAATAAACACTGAATTAGAGTYCTGTCTATCATAAATCACAAGGTCTGTGCTGGAATCATGAAGTTCTTTAAAACAACTAGAGTGAGCTCTGCCTATCCATCTGACCGTTTATTTCTGTGACATCARTGAGAAGCTAAGATGGCGCCCAGACTGGTCAATAATTTACAGAAAAAAAAACATTTAATTAACAAGTTCAACTGTTTCACAATTTATTTTGAATTTAATATAATTTTTATATTATTATAAATGAGAATAATTATAAATGTTCATTTCAAACAACAACCATGTGAAACAACTAGATGATACATGATAGAAAATTACTGGGTCTAACTAATAATCTAAACTTGAGCTGAATTCTTGTTGAATAATTACGACTTCAACTAATTGATGAATTTGTGAATATTATGTATGCTCTACTAGTTGCAGCTAATTGCAGTGATCAGTGTCTAAATTAAAGCTGAGATTAAAACGTACATTTTCATAATTAATACAGAGATTTTACACTGTAAATATTACATAAACTAGAGGTATAACCAGCTTGTAAATTTAATAATATGCACTAAATTGAGGCATAATTCAGTTTTTACATTTTGTATTACAATATTTGCTACAGAAGTTCATATGTATGCTCTACTAGTTGCAGCTAATTGCAGTGATCAGTGTCTAAATTAAAGCTGAGATTAAAACGTACATTTTCATAATTAATACAGAGATT